ACGTCCTCTTTGTAATTTCAAGGGTTTGGAGGGTTTATTTAAATGTTTTTTTTACCCCGCTTGACAATACGAAAGGAATGAAAAACTGTGTAAGCAAAATGCCCTTTTATACATTTACAAACAACGTTCCGCTAGATCTCACAAACAGCTAGACAAATCTATATACGGTAAAACATAGAATAGAAAAATAAAGTACACAAAGATGAGATAATCTATAAAATTGATTAGATAAAATATAAAGCCCGAAACACAACACCCGCCCCCGTAAAACGACCAGCCGGGAGGCTTTACTTCCTTCAATCTTCCCTTTGAACATCTAGCTCGAGAATCGCTAGCTTTGATACTGGACGCCTGTAACAACTATCAGCAGTCCTCACTTCAGCCGAGCGCGCTATACCGTCAGAACCATGGAACAACTGCAATACTCTTCCTCTCTTCCATTGGGAACGCGGCAAATCGACGTCGCATATAAATACGAGATCTCCAATGCTAATAGGCTTCGACGGCAAACACCACTTCGTCCTTCTCGTTAGGTCTGGTAAATACTCTTGTACCCATCGACGCCACATTCCATTTCTCAGGTTTTGTACAACTCTCCATTGCTTGCGCAAACACATCAATTTTGGTTCGTAAGGTGCAGGTGTTTGTGTGGAGTTTGTACAGCCCAGCAGGAAATGGTTTGGTGTTAGCGGTTCGGGATCTTCTGGCGTGACGGGAAGATGAGTCAGCGGCCTGGAGTTCACGATATTCTCTGCTTCAATTAAAAAAAACTTTGAAGCGTTTCTAATCGAGGCGCCTGTTCCTTTAACATCACTCGCAGCGCCTGTTTCACTGAGCGCACAAGTCGTTCCCAAACGCCACTTTCGCTGGGGTTTGCTGGTGTGGTAAATACCCATTTAATGCCTGCCGGTGCTAGCTCAGAGCCACTCTTCTCTAACTCTTTGGCGATGCCCACAAAATTCGTGCCGTTGTCGCTTCTCATCTGAACTGGAATCCCTCTGCCATTCAGGAAATTTCGGACAACCATCAAAAACGAGTCTGTCGAAAGGTCCACTGCAGTTTCGAGATGCACAGCTCTAGTAGTGAGACACGTGAACAGGGCGACCCATCTTTTTTCTCGTTGGCGTCGAATTATTACGAAAGTCGGTCCAAAGAAGTCCAAACCCGTATACGAAAATGGCCTCACATAAGGCGTGACACGATCAGGAGGAAATGCAGACATTTGTGGTTGACGTGGCGTCGCTCTTCGCATTCTACACAACGGGAATTTTGCTTTTATGCTGTTCAACAGTCTGCGAAGGGACGGGATCCAAAAGCGTTGTCTTATTTCACACATGGTCGTTGATACGTTGATATGATAACCCTTGTTGTGGTAATTCTGGGCGATGAGACGAGTCAACTGATGCAGTTTAGGTAATTGTCAAATATTAAGAAGCCTGTGTGGTATTGTCGTACGATTTCTGCTAGTCTGTCTTCCACGCTATTCGTACACCTACAACATGACATACGGGGGTTGCTGACAGTTTTTCTGGTGAGAAGACGAGCACTTCGTTCTTGTCTTTTGACAGCATCAAGCTGAAATCAATACATTGTGTAGTTTGCTATTAATTGAAATAAAGTTGCATTAAGTTAAGTTGAAACATTAATTGTATAAATCTGACGGATTTATTAGTAATATAATCGGCCTTCGCGTTTCCTCTGGAAGACACCTGGCTCGCTCTACTCTTCCGTGTGCGCGAATTAAACCGTTTTCGCCGATATAGGGGTTCAGCGACTTGAGCGGTCTGGTAGATGAAACAGCGACTCTCCGCCGTAGGTTCTCCAAATCTGACGAAAATACCTCCTCCTGCACGCATTTTAAGATATACACCTCAGCGTCCGCCTCTTCTTTCATACTCAGCTCTCCGATGCGCAAGTCCTCATTCTGTCGCTTACGGTTAAGATTTTTTACAAATCGCCACACCCACGCCATCGTACGTTTCAGTCTACGAAAATTTGAAAAGCGGTTAATTCGAGTTGTCAAAAAAACATACCCGATGGGTTGCGAAGGCTGAGTAGTTAGCTCGTATCTCCTCATTGCTATGGTCCTCAGAGCTCTGCATGTCCGAGTTATCTGACCACTCCTCTTCGTCTTTATGCAGAAAGTCTCTCATTTATCAACTTACTATTGTGAGTTGGTGGTATTTTTGCTCGCGTCGCTTCGTCCGCAGGGTTTAACGAATCTGGACACCATCGCCAGTCGTTGAGTTTGCTGTATTGTAAAATCTCTGCCACTCGATTAGCGACGTACTGTTTGTAAGAACGATGATCTTAATTAACCCATCGAATTACTGTGTGGAAATCGCTCCAAAACACGCATCGACTAACGTTGACTTCGTGGCATTTGATGATGCTTTCTTTTAATCGAACACCCATAACTGCAGCTTTTAGTTCCATTTTGGGAATGGTATGAAAACGAGTAGGTGCACAGCTGGTTTTTGCAGCGACGAAATTTACCTTCACCTTGCCACTATCAACCACTCGCCAGTACGATACAACTGCAAGTGCTTCTTCGCTTGCGTCTGCAAAAATGTGCAATTCCACCGACGCTCTCTCAAAATTTGCAAAATAGCAGCGTTCGATTCGAATTTGTTCGACTCTTTTCAGCTCGGTTCGCCACAGCTTCCACCAACGATAGATCTCGTCCGTTATAGGGTCGTTCCAGTCAATACTGGTTTTCCATATATTCTGCATCAGAATCTTTGTCATAATCATGTAGTTTTCCAAAAACCCGAACGGATCAAAGACTGACATATTAACAGCCAAGGTCTCTCTCTTTGAAGGTTTACGAGAGAAATCTAAAATATCTCCTGGCACTTTGTTCAATTTCAAAGTGAACACGAAAACATCCGGTTTTGGCAGCCACCTCATACCAAGTATTTTTTCAATAATTCCTTCAACACTCACAGAAACACGATTTTCGCTCGCCGAGCTTCTAACAGCTTCCATTACGGCATTAGAATCTGAGACAATTCAAAACCACCTTGCTAGTGGATGGAAATTACCTCTTTGACAACGTCTATCGTTCGCTCTGGAAACAGTCAACATAATCGTCGACGTAGTGCTTCTCAACGATACCTTTAACAGCTCGCGTTGAT